TATATATATATATATATATATTCTGTATATATATATATAACTTCAGTGATAGATTTATTGTTTTTATGAAGAAATGAAGAATTTACATTAAAATTATGTAAATTTGGATGTATAATTATATTTACGAACATTGAATTTTTATTGAACAGGGTCTGAAAATTCTCGGTCTTTATTAATTCCGTTATGATTTGCGTTATAATTATATTAAGAAAATTTATGCGAAATCCATGTACTCACCCATCGATGGGACTTCCCGCTTCCTCTCGAGATCCACTTTATTACCGACCAGGATGACACCATGATTCACCATGTAATCGCTTTTCCACAAGTAGAGCAGTGTCTCCTCAGCCACCTTTAAGCTTCTTCTATCCACCACCGAGTACACCACCACGTACACATCCGGATTATAAGTTGAACAAAAAGTCTCGACCTCGAAAAGATGAAAGTGAGCGAAAAAATGAGAAAACTCATGGAAAAACATCGATTAATGAACGAACGATTCGATTTTTATTTTTTTCCACTGAACAATAAATTTTATCGTTTATATAATGCAACGCAATATCGCAATAAATGGAAACAGAAGAGAGAATATTGTGATTTTTAAAAGGGCATTATTTATTTTTCAATACCTTGCATATCTACGTTTTATTTTTTAAAAACTTGTTATATTTAGTTCTGCAGTTCATCGCAAAATGTGTCCCCGTTTTTTTTACGTACATTTATGTATAGCTCTAACGCTTTATTACATCAAGCACCCATGCAAGAACCCTCTTTCGATCTATCTTGATGAATCCGAAGAAATAATTCACTTGACTCCCTTTTCACTGACTTAATATTCTTTGACCCTTTCGAGTCTGTCGATCTTCTTTAATAGATAAAGTAACACCTATACGTTTTCCAATTTCTTCCCTTATTCACACACATCATCGTTTTATATACGACGATTTATATTAGAGTGTATATCCCGGGGGTTTACGCCAACATCTAATAGGCAATAATAGAGTAAACTCGATAAAAGTGACATCGTGCTGTAATTCTATTTACGAGAGCGGCAAATGAGTTCTTTCCGGTATCCAATAATTATTCATTTAACGCAATTTCTTAGGTAATTGACCTCTCGATGCATCAATTCGGTACTCGGACATCTATTTTTATACGATAAAACGTCACATTTTACTCACTGACATTTCCGCAGCCGGATGATCAATGATTTCTAATTCCGTCTCCTGGCCGTCAAGCATCACGGATACGTTCTTCTGTCCGTACTCGTCGTCTGAAAAACGCAGCGGAATTGAACATTTGCAATAACGTCCGACTATCAATCAGACTGGCACGTCATCGGTATTTTCGTATACATATATGTAGCGTAATTAAAAAACGCGTAATTAAAAAAGAAAACGGATGATTAATGCTTCGCAAAAAGCAGCGGTTGAGTCGAAAGATAACACACGTTCTCAAAGCATACTTTATTCTTTCTCTTTCGCAGCTAGAAACGAGAATCCCTCATTAAAAATATGTGCGCACATGTGTTTATTCAAAGGAAGAAATCTAATTACGTCCGAACAATGGTGAGAAAATTTTATAAAATTGTCATTGATCGTTCCCTTCCGAGGGACCATTATGATCTAGGTTGAACTCTCATATCATCAAAGTGGACCACCGAGAAGAGAAGAATATATATTGCCTCTTTCGTATACAGAAATACCGATAATCCTCCCCCCCCCCACACACACACACACACACACACACACACACACACACACACACACCAACA